TCTCATAAATTCTGGAAAATTTGGCAAAAGTTGACCGACCGAATATTTGCCGATTCGATAAGCTTTGATTTAGCAGTACACGACTGATCCTTCGCCCGATGTGCAACATATAAAAAAACTATTTTACAATACCAGATCATTCCAACAGTATATTAAAAATGGTGTTGGATTATAATCATAACATGTACTGTCGGAATGATTTGGTATTGTAAAATAGTTTTTTTATATGTTGCACGCCGGGTGAAGGATCAGTCGTGTCACATCGACGGTCGCTCCTGTAATTTAGCAGTGATAAACTTTTGATTCGGATGTAATTACATCCGAATTACAGCTGTTCTCATAAATTCTGGAAAATCTGGCAAAAGTTGACCGACCGAATATTTGCCGATTCGATAAGCTTTGATTTAGCAGTGATAAACTTTTGATTCAGATGCAATTACATCCGAATCAAAAGTTTATCACTGCTAAAATCAAAGCTTATCGGATCGGCAAATATTCGGTCGGTCAACTTTTGCCAGATTTTCCAGAATTTGAGAACAGCTGTAAAACTTTATCACTGCTAAATCAAAGCTTACCGGATCGGCAAATATTCTGTCGGTCAACTTTTGCCAAATTTTCCAGAATTTATGAGAACAGCTGTAAGTTATTGTCGCACTAAAATCAGGAACGTAAACAACGATGTTTATAATTATATATGCCAATTCTTACATCTTATCATAAAGCTTTGGATTAAATTTGCATTACGACCTAATCTTGAAATTTTCTTCATATATTTTGTTATAATATAGAGTTTCGCATTATGATTTCATCAACTGACTTAGTTTGTAAATCGTGAAGAGCAATTTTAGAAAATGTATAGTAACTAAAAGAGGTATAATTAAATATGATTAGTGTAATACCAATTATTGATAATAAAATATTCTGATTAAATATAAAATGGAAACATTATACATTTTTAATAAAGTAAATCTCAACACATGAAAAATTAAACACAAAATTCAGAATTTGTTAAAACAGGCATCGGGTTTATTATAGCTCCGTCTTCGGACAACCCTATAAAAAGGAATGTGTAAAATTTGTTCGTATTGATAGACAGAATGGTATTTTTTTTTTTTAACCATTTTCACACATCTAAATCAAATATTATACAAAATATATACCGTATAGCGCTGCATATATAAAAAATCAAGATTTTCACATTTGGAGGGGAGTCAATAGAAAGAGGCCAAATTTTTTATAAATAAAAGTTTTCTTAGCTTTAAATTTAAGTACTTCAACAACTATCTAATCAAATTTGATTAGATAGGGTTGAGATATTTTAATTTAAAAATTAAAAAAAATTTTACTAAAACTGATTTGTCCCTTTTCTATTGAGTCGAAATAAATTACAAAAGTTTTTAATACGCATTTTCATTTCTTTTAAGTGTAAAATCATTTAAGCGGGCAAATTTGCTTGCTAGACGGTTTAACGGATAATGCTAATTTAGTCGGGATTATGCTCTTTTAGGAAAATAGTTTTTGGAAAATAATTTTAAATAACGAAACATGCACTAAAATAACATAGGACTAGAAATTGTAATACTATCACGAATAATTCATTATATCGATAATAAAAAAAGTGGAATACATTTAAAGTTATCAGATATTTACATAATAAGACAGATATACGCATGTGAATGTATGTATGTAAGTGTACAGAAAATAGCTAATATTTCGGATTACTAGCATTTTAAGCGATTCGTGATTTAAGTATTTTTTTAAAGCTTTTACTCACCTAATTTTGAAACCCATAAATCTATTCCTGGAATAGGTCTAGGCAGACCTATAGGTTTTTTCTTAAAAACAAACCCCTCAACAAGTTTGAACTTAAAATTTCTAATTAGAATGGATATCAAAGTTTTAAATTCCAATTGAGCCAATTTCGATCCTATACAACTTTTATTTCCAGCACCAAAAGGTAAGAACATGAAATTTGTGATTTTAGCTTTTAATTCTGGATCAAACCATCGAGATGGATCAAATTCATGAGCATTTTCACCCCAGATCAAGGATTATGATGGATTGTACTAACAGAAATTTGTAAGATTGTTCCCTAATGATAATTTAATGACAGTTTAATGGCAAATTAAAGTTATAAATTAACATTAATTGATTCATATAACAGTTAATTCAATTGATATTTAAGAAAATACCTTTGGAATAATATAATTGTTAAATAATTCATCTTTTGTAGTCATGCGAAGTATTGATTGAGCTTTAAGTTCAAAAATTAATTAGTTTTAGAAACTAAAGATTTTAAAACATGATATTTAATATTACCAGGCGGAATAACTCTGAGAGTTTCTTTGAAAACACAATCTAAATATTTTAGTTTTTCGATCTCATCAAAAGTAGGTTGATGATCACAATCAGGAAACGTATTAATTAATTCTTCACGAAGTTGATCTTGACACCTGGGATTTTTTGCGAGAAAATATAATGCCCAAGATAATGATATACTAGTGGTTTCATGACCAGTAATGAGAAGTGTCTTAATCTAGGATTTAACGAATTAAATATTAAAACAAATTTATGCAAATTCATAAAAGAAATTTTCTAAAAATATTCATATGAAATTGTAATGATACCCAGTATAAGAAAAAAATACCATATATTAGGTAGGTTAAGTTAGAATAGATTAGAATTAAAGTGTATTCATATGTAGAATTAATGCTGAACATTTTTACTTAAAATACCTACATATGGTTTTCTTAAGATTTTGAGATATTCATGATTTTTGATTTGTTTCTTCTTATACTGGGTATTATACCCACTGGGTACAAATAGAAACCCTCTTTATAAAATTATGGAAATTATTATGATAATAAACCTGACATATCAGTTCATCATGTGTTAATCTTTCATTATAAGGTGCAATTTCATTAGCTTCTATCAATAATGATAATAAATCTTTTCCTCTAATTGGATTGTTTTTGTGTTCAATAACTAAATTTTCGGAAATTGTTCTAATAATTTTGAGAGAATTATTATAACGAACGTTAAAACTGAATGGAAGTTTTCTAATAAAAGGAAAGAGATCGATAAGAGCATTATATAATGGAGAGATGGTATAAGTGCCGATTACATAGTATGCTTGTGCTAATTCAGATCCTGATGTAATAGAATTAAAATCATAATTAAATCCTATCATATAAAAAAAAGTATTTAAAATTATCGGAATACACGTAGTAATTATGATTAAAATTCATAAAAGTTAATAAAAAAACCAATTAATGTAACAAATGTAAATCTATTCGTACCGACAAAACCTATAATATCTAGTGTTATTTTGTGAATTAATGAAGTAATTGAAATCCTTTCTTCTTTTTTATCTAAAATTTGTTTCATCCAACAATCCTTCAATCGTCGGCCACCTTGAACAAATATTGGGACCATTTCCTTTATATTAGTATATGTAAACAAAGGATTCATCAATTTTCTTTGTCGTTTATGATCTTTTCCCTGAGCACGAATTAATCCACTTCCAAAAAAAATCAGAATTTAAAGTTCTAGCCATAACACCTTGACAGTCATATGAATTTAGAATTGTTTGAACAAGTTTGGGATCGGTAATTACAAGTTGAGGTTTGTTAAACAATGTATGTAACCGGAAAATACCACCATATTGTTTAGCAAGGTAAATTAAGGTTTCATCGATCTAAAAATTTATTTAAAAAAAAAATAAGAATACACTTTTGCGAATAATAAAAGTTATAAATTTTACCTTGTCTTAATAAAGAAGAATAATGACCAAGGATAAAGCTATCAATAGGTGGGCCAGGAATTTTGCATAATGGTGACAAGTATAATGGATAGAAATAAAATTTATATAAAAGACAGCCAATTAACGTAAAAAAAATTGTGATAATACACAAGTAAAAGTTCATTGTGAAAATTCAAGTTTCAGAATAAATAATATTTGAATGCTGCTAAATAAAAATTTAGAAATTTTAATACTTCCATTTGGTGCCACTATTTAATCTCTTCCAATCCATATACCCCTATTTTTCCACGATGCTACCAAATAATAAATGCAGATAAATGTTATTTAGATAATGAGATGTTATTTGTAGTACATTTCTTATATAGTTGCTGCGAATAAATAAACATTATGAGGTAAATTAGGATCTGATTGGTCGGTGCCGTTCATATGATGATCGTTGTATTCCTCAATTACCGTCACGACATTAGCGTTAGCTAAGATTTATGAATCTCCCGTGATCACACATAAGAACTAACCGAATTATATAATTAATTGTGTTAGCAAGAAACTAAGAATATACCTTCAAAGCTTATAAATTAATAAATTAACTTGGGATATCGTTAATCAAGATCTAGTAAAGTGAAATTAAAAAAAGGACAAACAAGATTAATTATTGACCAACATATTTGATATAATAAACCATTTATAAACTTCAACATAGATAAGTGATATTTATATTGTAAGTAGGAACGAAATTTAAGTGGATTTGGAATCTCTTAATAAAAATTATGATTTTGTGGTAGAATTTATGGATCCAAATTATTAGTATATAAAAATATACAATTTATATACAATAAAAAACAACGATCTAAATAATCGCAACATATAAGTGTTTTACATGTTTAATATTTAGTTATAAATTTAATTGCAAAACGGCATATATTTTCTCTAATCTACGAATGACGAATAACATGTGACGATGAGAGATTCATGTTTTGAACAATAATAATATGGGCGCTTTGCAATAGAAAGGGCGGATACTCGAATATATTTAATTTTGAGATAATTGAGTTTAATCGGTTGTTTTGATTTTCGGACTGATCCGGGTTAATCAAAATTTCATGATTTTGATTGGTTAAAAATAAGATGTGATTAACGGATATTCTCGTGATGCACTTGGCCTTAGGAAACCCCGTGCAATTTTTCTTCGACTTTTTATTATGCAAGTCGACCTTCATTTATAATAGAAAAATGTTGGCCACATCGAAATATATCCGAATCTAATAAAAACTCATTTTTCATTTTTTGAGTAGTTTCCGCCTTTTCTATTGCAGAACGCCCATATAGATTCATGACTTCAATAGCCGGTGGGTTAGTGATTTCAAAAGTGAGTAGGTTCATTATAGGTTAGTAGGGGTCCATGATTTTAACATAGTGGATTCACATTTTTAGTAAGTAGAAAGTAGCAAGTTTAACATTGGTTCATAATTTAAATTGTGAGTGGAGTCGTAACTTCAAAGTGATCTCAATAATAATAATAATAGGAAGATTTGTTGATTTCAATAGTGGTTGGATTGGAGATTTCAACAGTATATGGTTTAGTGATTTATTAATAGGTAGGCTAATAATTTCAATAAATAGTGGGTTGCCGTTTTTATTGTAATAGATTTATATTTCAACAGTGTGGGTTCGTGATTTGAGTAGTGGATGGGTTAATTATTTCAACCGTAGGCAGTTTCATGATTTCAGTAGCATGGAATTATACTTTCATTGGTGAGATTCATGTCTTCAATAGTTGCGAATTCATCATTTTAGCAGCGTATATTCGTGGCTTCAATGGTGGATTGACTTATAATTTCAATAGTTGTGAATTTCCAACAGTACTGTAGATATGTATCACGATTTTGGCGAATAAGTGGTGAATTCAATTGTAGGTGATGAGCTCATGATTTTAATATGGATGTGTTTGTGATTTTAATAATTGATGGGTTCACGATTGTAATAATAAGTGAATCCCAAATCTGCTTAATGAGATCTGCACATTATTACTATGATTACTTTTTGATATGTGATGCTTTTAAGAAAATACTTTAATATGGTAGTAAGTAATTTAACTCAATATAAAGTGGATATTGCTATTTTAATGTCTAGAAACTCTATTTATGAAATCAGTTTGCTTCCAGAATGATTTTTTTATTTGTTGTTATTAATAAAATGTTGTTGATACCTTTCTAAATAAAGTGATTTATTATAAAAATTAATCTAATCTATTTTTACAAGTTATTTGAAAAAATATTTTGTATTACATGAAACAGGATAACTTCTCTAATTTTTAACAATGGGCATGGTCTAGTAGTTAGATAATAATTAAATAATGAGAGTTCAGTTTCAACAGTGGAGTATGTTTATTATTTCAATAGTGATAAAGAATGTTTACGACTTCATTGACAGGTGTTTGTTTTTTCTGTAATATATTTTTTGACGAATATGCAAATATCTGTCTACTGCATCAAACTTTTAATTTGATTTGTTGGATTTAAAGTCATTATATATTAAACAAAAATTTTATTCCAATTCTGAAGACATAAATTATGCACTAGTATGTTAATAAAAAGTTACTATTCCATGTCATTTCTAAATTTATGTCGACATGTGCTATTCGGAATCGTAAAATGATATTTCGTTTTAGAATCGGTAACATTTAACGATTAATAAAAAAAAGCGAAAAAATTTTGACTTAAAGTAATTAATAATGTTATTAAGCATACTGTGGTCAGTGTTCCGGACACCTGTCCATGGACATGGACACCCGTCCATGGACATGTGGACATATACAGTCCATGTCCATGGACAGACGGTCCATGGACATGGACAATATATTGTTTTTTTTTTAATTTTTGATAATAAATTAAAATAAAAAAAAAAAACTAAAAAAATATATTTAAAACTTTGCATACTTTGTGTACTTAGTTTCGAATAATTAATTTAGATACAATTTTCATGAAATGTAATGGTATAGAATTTTTTTTATGTAATGGTATAGAATGTTGATTATAAAAAATTCTTTTACATATAAAACTCTACCAATTTGTTGATTGAATCTTTGTAGCTGGTACTTTGACCTATTTTTAATATTTCACCTTAGTATAGCCAATATATTTTTAATAAGATTAAGATTTGGGCATACGAAGGCCAGGGAAAATCTGTTTTGGAAATTACAATGCAGGCCGATAAAATTGGTCAGTTTTTATTTGGCAACATTCATATAATTGCTTGTATGAGTGCAAGCATATCAGTGAAGACACATTGTTAAAGTTTTAATATGTAGTATAGGTTTATATGAAATATAAATTTTGGCAGTCATGAAACTGGTACTCTTTCTTTTCAAGCTAATTACTTTCTGTATTAAACCATTTAGCCATTAAACAATCTAATATTTTATTCTAAAGTTGTAGAGATTTCCTTCCCTAAATATAGGTTTCATTCAAAAAGTTTTGCTTGAGCAAAATATGTAAAGTTGTACCAATTTATGACTCAATGAATTTAAGTCACCAATATAATCATTAAAATAATTTTTGTTTTTATTGCTAACAAATTCTAAAAGGTTTAATCATTAAAAATTCATATCAATATCTTTATATGTGAAATTACACCTATTTTGTTCGATATAAATATAATTGACAGGTTTTCACCTGGTAATACTCATATACTGTTCGACATTATAACGTCTGCCAATGAATGAATAGATTAGTGGGTCAACCAAAATCCAGCAAATCACATGATTACGAGAACATGTGTAACATAAACAAGACGCCTTTTACAAATTATTCCTAAATTTTAACTATTGAAGCAAGTTTCTGCGCAGTAATTAAAAATGCTCTTCATGAGATTTTACTATACCGATGTCATTAATACCAACCTTAACTCTAATGTATCGTTCTTACACAAACAATTTGTTTTAGAGAAATTTGACTGGATGTAATTTGCTAGCCCACTAATCTACCCGCCAATGAAACGCATTACGTAATTTGTATCACTAAAGCAGTATGCACATTTTTGATTCAAAAGTATAAATTAATTAATAAAGCCACTCACACAATAAATAGTTTGTATCACTTGAACGCACAATAAATGCTTACGCTGCGCTATGAATGATCCCAATACGTATTTTTAAGTCATTTATCCGTGAAAAATAGTTTAGTTTCCTCTTTTTAACTCTTTCAAAATGATAGAATTACCGAATGAATGCCTTGAGGAAATATTTAATTACCTTAAAAATTATCCCAGACACTTATATTCATGCCTTCTTGTAAACCGTCAATGGTGCAGAATTATTGTTCCAATATTGTGGAGCGAACCATTGAAATACTGTGGAGATAGAGAACTTATAAGAATATACCTTTTATCGTTGAATACTGAAGAAATGACGTCATTAATTCCACTAAATA